GGAAAGAAAGATATAGGACGGAGGGAGTATAAAATAAGAACCACAATAATATTTGATAAGAGGGAATTAAATATGAAAACCCTCTAGTTATAAAAGACTAGTTATAAAATATTCCACACAATTTTTCATATAAAATCTATTAAAAACAATTTCAATCAAATATTCTAATGCACCCCGAAGAGAAAAATTATGGACAAAAGTAATACTCCGTACTACATTCATCCCAAAGTATTTATCCAATTTTGACTTTTTTTAGTCAACAGTTTTTAACCTTTGGCCTATAATTAAATAAAATATATATTGTATATTAATTACATAAAATAATATGTTAAAAATCTTTATATAATAAATATAATAACACTATTTTTGTATCAATATCTAATATTTTTTTTATTTAATTTGAAATCAAAGTTTACAAATTTTGATTAAAGAAGTCAAAAATAAACAAGTACTAATACTTATTAATTCTGTAATTGATGAAAGAACCATTCAATAAATTTATGAGTAAAAAAGAAGCACTTCGTAAAAGGAAGGCAGAGGTTAATGGGGATATAGGCGAATTTGTAGTTTTAGAAATTTTAGAAAGTTAGTGACACGAAACATTTGTTATTCCACATGACAGCTTAATTAAATATTGATATCAGTCCTCATGTCAAATTTTGAGTGGGAGGGCATCGATGCCCATGCAATTTTAAGGGTATGGAAGAAAAACCCTTATTTATTATTATTGTTATTACTAATTGAGTGAATTAATGAAGCATACATATTTAGCATAGTTTTTCAGCACACCCCTTATACTACTCCCTCCGTCCCATAAAACATGAGATGTTTTGCTTTTTGAAGAAACTTAAGGGGAGTGTATTTTGATATTGAATTTCCAAAAATGTCCTTTGATGTGATGGGTAAAAGTAGGATTTGATGGGTATATTTTTAGTAAAAAGGTATGATGTGATATGTAGGGTATGAAAAAATAAGGGGTAAAAGTGACTTTTTAATAGAAATGAGAAGTGTTTTATGGAACGGATGAAAAAAGAAAGGAGAAAGGTTTTATGCGACGGAGGGAGTATGAGTTTGTAGGTCGAAAATGCGCGGCACGGACTGCGCGTAAAATTGGACGCGACCGTTTTTCATTGGTTATTGAAAGTAAGCGATGCACTTGGGAATTGATCTATTGGATCGATTGTTTTAAATAACCGATGCTAAAACTATTGTTGCGCGCAACATTGTCATCCACGTACTAGATTTCCAACACTATTTTGGTACGTACGTTTGTTTTATTTTTTTTCTTTAAACGTACTACTACTACTACTATAAGTCAAACAGCATATTGTACTCAAAAGTCATGATATAAATATAAATGGATTGAAATTAAAAGACATGGTATGGTATGAAGCGACGCAGAAAAGCATGTATGTATATGCAAACATATACTCCCTTCGTCCCTTAAAACATGATATGTTTAGATTTTGTAGAGATTTAAGGGAAATGTATTTTGGTATTGAATTTTCAAAAATGTCCTTTGATGTGATGAGTAAAAGTAGGATTTGATGGGTAGATTATTAGTAAAAAGATATGATGTGATAGGTAGGGTATGAAAAAGTAAGTGGTAAAAGTGACTTTTTAATAGAAATAAGAAGTATTTTTTGGAACAGATGAAAAAAGAAAGGAGAAATGTTTTCAGGTAGGGACGGAGGGAGTATATTGAGAGACATGTAATTAAAAGCAGGAGGGAACAAGTTCAACAAAAGGCATGCAATGTCTTAGTAATTCTAACTCTTTAATTATAAAGGTCAGACACAAATAGGGAAAATTGTTCCTTTAATTTATTTGTCAAATAATGAGTTTTGGGAGCCAGCCAGCAATATTCCGCAAGCACTTAATTACACAAATCTGAAAGCTAACTATTATTTACACCCCATTATTAATTATTTTACCTACTCCGATCCTCATATATATATATATATATATATATAGTTCATTTATTGTATTTCCTGTTTGGTAATCATATTTTGTACTCTCTGTCCCATTTTAAATTATCTGTTTGTCTTTTTTTTTTCGTCCCAAAATAAGTTTCCTGTTAGTTATTTTCGTAAACTTTTAAAAATGAAATACCTAAACTACCCCTAAAATAAGTCACTCTTCTTTACCTTATCTTCTCATTCACCGTCACCCCTTCTAAAAAGTAATGACAATTTCGAAAAATCAACTCTATTTTTTCTTTTCCTTAAGTATGCCCAAAAATCAAAACAGACAATTTAAAACGGGACGGAGGAAGTAAGTTTTAAAAGTTCAAATAAGAGCATTCAACAACTCTGCTAGCTAGCTTCACCATCAATGGCAGTATGGCACTATTATTAAGACTAGAATCTACGATTGGTCATTCAGCTTTATGAGCTATGCACAATTGGTTTTTCAAGTTTTAAAATTTTATAAATAATACTTCAAGTATCAACAATCCTTCACATGCAGTCCTTCAAGTTCTAAAAGTCCATAAGTAGTCCTTTAAGTATTCATCAACACTCCAAATGCAGTCATTTTTACGCTACACGTTAAAAGATAAACAGATTACTAATGTATTTGAAAAATAAATCAAAAAATCAATGAATCCATATTCATATAAAAACGATAATCATTTGTTAATCATAAATTATACTCCCTCCGTCCCAAAAAGTCTGTCCCGTTTCGAAAAAATTGCGTCCCTTAAAGTTCGTCCTATTTCTATTAAAAAAAAACTCTTTTCACCTCTTACTTTTTCATACCATACCTATCACATCACACCTTTTTTCCTAATAATATTCTACCCATCACATCCTACTTTTACCCATCACATTGAGGGTATTTTTTGGAAAGTCAACACCAAAATATTCCTCCTTATTTTACCACTTTAGTCAAAATGTCTCAATCTTTTTGGGACGGAGGGAGTAGATATTAATTATTACAATAAACAAGCAGAATTAATTGAACTACCATATATAGATTGTAGGAGACATAGATGACATGCATGGGCCGACCCGATGGTTAAGCAGCTTGATTTGATGGGAGAAGGAAGAGGGAGAGGGAGGGGACATGATGTGGCCGTCAAGATCTCTCTTTTGAATTTATTTGAATTGGTATGGTCCGGCACCATTTTGTATCCTACTACCATCATGGCCTTCCCTTTCATCTTTCTTTCTTTTTTTTGTCAATATATACATTTATTATTTATACACACTAGATTTTATTATGGATCATAAGAAATAGTAATATTACTTCGTATTATTATTTTTATTTTCTTTTTTAAATTCTATCTTTACCATATTTTTTTTAGCTCATTCGTCATGCGATGAATATCTATCTCTCTATTAGTAGCGTCTATATATACTTACAAAATAACTTCTGTCGGTGTGGCTCCATTGCAGTACCTGTGCTCTAAGTTGCTTCTCGGGCCTCGTTACTGAGGATCACCTTGCGGAATATTAGAAATGATAAGAATAATTGGAAATAGATTATTATTCTTATTATTATTATTTACTTTTCTTATTTTGTTGTTACAATAACTTCTTATTTTGATTTGATTAGGATTCTTTATGTATTCTCTATGTATACTGATGTAATTCTCATTATTTAATAAAACCAATTATTCACTTATTGTTTCAATTCAATTCTCATTATTTACGCTAATGTTTATATATTCCCTTCGTCTCTAAAAACACTTCTTGTTTCATTGTTTGCGTATCTCATCAAATGTTTCTACACAATCTAAAATATCTAAAATACTCCCGAACGAAACAACTGTTATCCATAATAAAGGAGAAATATGATGAATCTTAAACATTATAAATATGTATAGACGTGTATTTAGGGATACACAAAAATGAAAAATAAAGTTTTTTTAAGACAGAAAGAGTAAAATTTTGAAATTAATTAAATGTAAAATTTTTACATTTAAATATGGAGTATTACATAAAAAAATTCTACTCCCTCCGTTCTCAAAAAGTGTTCCTATTTTGACTAAATGTAAAAATAAGGAAGTGTTAAATTGTAGTTGACTTCCAATTTTGCCCTTGATGTGATGGATAAAAGTAAGATGTGATGGATAGATTATTAGAGAAAAAATATGATGTGATATGTATATTATGAAAAAGTAAGGGTAAAAGGGGTTTTTAATAGAAAGTGGAAGTGTTTTGTTGAAATTGGAAAAAATGAAAGAGAAAGTGTTTTTGAGAACGTAGGGAGTACAAGATACAAAGTAACCAGTCTATACAGAATATTTTGATTAATGAAGTATGGAGCTATAAGATTGGCGCAAAAAAATAGAATGTGCCCAAAAATAAAATCTAGCCGTTTAAAACCTTGGAAATAGAATGTACCCACTTCGATACATTTGGGAAAGAAAAAAGGGTTAATAAAACTTGATCTTAATAAAGTAATAAATCGATTGGATTCGATCTTTTATTAAAGATAATTTAATTTACGTAAATGGTAATTTTTGTGAAAATCAAATACATGCAGATTATGAGAGGAATGGGGTATTATTAGGTTGATTGTGTCGTTGTGATATTAGAAAAAAAAACCCTAGCTTCGGAAGAAATAGGGCAAGTGGATTATTATTTGATTAATAATAATTAAAATACGTTGCAATTAATGCATGCACATATGCTTCCCGTCCCTTTCCTTAACTTTTCTTTTCATCCAACCCCTACTTATACCCATCTCTCTATAAATCTATCTATCTATCTATCTATATCATCCATCATATATATATATTGTTGTATTTCATTATTAATATTGGTCTAAATCCAGTTCCTTATATATATATATATATATATATATATATATATATATATATATATATATATATATATATATATATATATATATACACATCTTCATCGAGCCATATATTTACGTCCGGCCAATACATATTTGTGAAGAAGAAGAAGAATACACACACACACACACATATACATTAATATATTTATTATGTCTTCATTGGTAGTATATGTGTTCCTGTGTAGTTTATATCTGCATGCATGCACTGCCCGACCACTTGGAATGGTTCCCCATTCTAAGCAAAATAATCCCACGTTATTAATGTCTCCCGAGGTATGTATGTGTTTATGTAATTTATTTACTTAAGAATTTCTCCATCCGTCCCAAAAAAGTCTGTCTCGTTTCGAAAAAATTGTGTTTCTTAAAGTCCGTCCCATTAAAACTACTTTTACCCCTTACCTTTTCATACCATATCTATCACATCATACATTTTTCCTAATAATCTACCCATCACATCCTACTTTTACCCATCACATCAAGGGTATTTTTGGAAAGTCAATACCAAAATATCTCTCCTTATTTTACCTCTTTAGTAAAAATGGGACAAACTTTTTGGGACGGAGTGAGTATTTTATATATATATATATATATATATATATATATATATATATATATATATATATATATATATATATATATATATATATATATATGAGTATAATATTATACTTTGCTATGATTTTTTTTTACTTTATTATAATAATGTCTATGAGAGTAATAAGAGTAAATGGTTTTGTGCAGGATGAGAAAATGGTATTAAAAAAGAGATTTAGTGTGAATAATAATAATAATAACAAAGAAAAGGCTTCCACTTATGAGACTCTCAAGAAGGTGGATGATCAAGAACACATTCGAGGTACGTTTTGAATGCATGCATGCCTAGCTACCTCTCTACTAAATAATAAATTTCGATTATGTTTCACGTAGTTACAATACCCTTCCATCTCTAAGTTAATTTCCCTTTTTGACTTCATAAAATTTTAGAAAAATGTAACTCCCTCCCCTCTCTTTGCTTCTTCCCAGTTTGACTTTCATGGTGAATATTTTTAAATTTTATTGTTTATCCATCACATCTTATTTTTAGTCATTAAATCAAGAATATTTTTAAAAAGTGATCAACACAAAAATGTCACTCTTAATTTTCCTAAAAGTCAAAATGGGAAGGACTTTAAGGAACGGAGGAAGTACGGAGTATTAATTTACTATCATTAAATTTATTTTGAAATATTGTATTCTGATAGTTCATCTGTCCAAATTAAAATTGCGACGGTTGGTTTACGATATTTGACTGAAATTATTTCCAAGAAAACTTATTTCAGAATTGGGATGAAATTAGAAAAATAAAATTTACATCTTAAAACTACATAAAAAGTTTTATCAAACAAGAGATATTCTGACCATTTTATTTTATCAAATGACCCACGAAAATGAATAAAATTAGACTCTATGAATATAATAAATAGACAACTTAATTTGAGATGGAGCAAGTTATATATCTATAAATAGAGATGTTGATACTCAAAATGTAGCATTAGATAACGTGAAAAGTTAAATAAAAAGAAATTAAGTAATTAAAGAGAGAGAGTATCATGACTTAGAAGTTACTTTTTTTAAAAAATGTATTTGTAAGAATTATGACTTTAATTTGGAGACTTCAAATATGGAAAGTATGAATTTAGTGTAGGAAGCTACACATGGAGTGTTAGCTAAATGCCAATGAACTTTAATTATTTGTATATAAAGATGTTTAAATTTGACTCTTTTATAATTACAAAAATTAAAAATAAGGAAAGAAAGACATGCAACTGCACATTGATGTACCTAAGGGGGGACACAATATTTAGGCCCACTCCACTCAAGTTCAAAAAAATAAACAATTTTTTATTATCTATAATGATCTTTTTTTTAACAATATTGTAAATGCATTTCAGGTGAAAATGAGGGCTCCATTATATTTTCTATTCGTGAATTTTTGCTTCACAAACTTCAAATCAAGGTAACCAATCTCTCTCTTCTTTTTCTGAATATATAAGAATATCTTCACATTTCACAAGAAAATTTAATCACATTTTTCCTACTTTTTAACTACTTTTAAAAATCTTGCCAACTAAAAATTTTAAGAATACTTTATAGAGTAATTTACTTAAGTAGCACTAAAACATAATGACTTTTCCTAAATAGCACCACATGTGTTTTTCTTCCCAATGTAGCACTTTTAGTCATTATGCATTAGTCATTATTCAAGTAAATATTTGTCATTACTAGACATTATGGACATTATTAAGTGCTATTTAAGGAATAAAACAATTTAAGTGCTATTTAGAGAAATGACTTAAGTTTTAGTGCTATTTAGTGCAAATATTTCTACTTTATAATATTTAATTATTTTAAACTATATTCAATTTGTAGTAAAAAATGCCACAATTTGACCAAAAGGTCAAATTGTGGCAATATTTTAGAAACGAGAAGAGTATTATTTTGATAAAATAAAATACTTTCTTCGTCTCCAAATTAAGTACCTTCACGGTTTGACTAACGTGACTGAAGAATTCAAAAACAAATTTGTGGTTATATTTCAGAGAAAAGATGAAAATTTTATTTTGAAACGGATGAAAAATAAATTAAAAAATGTGAATTAAAACTGAATACTCCATCCGTCCCAAAAAGACTTTCCTGTTTTATTTTTTGCGCATCCCATAAAACACTTCTATCCCACCTTGAATGCCAAAAAAACTTTCAAAATAACTTCTACCCACAATAAAAAAGAAATGTTGTAAATTTTAGGCATTTTAGATGTCGGTAGAAGTGTTTTATGGGATGCGCAAAAAATGAAACAGGAAAGACTTTTTGTGACGGAGGAAGTATAAAATAATGTGATCAATTTAGTTTAATTTGGAGTGTTAATTAAATTTATTTTTGGCGGTGCGGCATGCAGGGAACAAAAGAAGGACGTTCGGCATTACAAATATCTCCGGCGCCACCGGCGCCACCGGCGGCCAGAGTGGTGTTTCACAACACCGCCGCCGGAGCTATGGGTAAGGAGGAGGAGGTTTTTTCTATGGACTATACACAACCCCGCCGCAGTCCGCCCATCCACAACACCCGACGACCATAATTAATTACTAATTAACTTTAACCACAATACTATATGTTAATTAACTATACTGGTAATTAATTAATTATCAATCAATTAATTAATTAATTAGATAATTATCAACGACGGCGCCCGGTTGACAAAGAATATGATCGAGAAGAGATTCAAGAGAAGAGAAGATTGATGTATTATTTAAATTAATACATAGAGCTTCCATTTCTGGTCCAATTTTTGAGCCAAGTTAATTAATTAATTTGTGCGTCTGGTTAGTAAATTAAATAGAGACAATATATAGTCAAGGGACTGGGGTATGGTTTTTACTTTAATTAATCTGTAGTTAGTGTTGTGGTAATTGGTATTTAATTACTACTACTACTACTAATGTGTGCCCCTTTTGAATACAAAACTTAGAGTTTTACACTTTTACTTCGTAATGACATTTGGATTAATGAGTACGGAGTATTAATTAATTTTTCTTAGCGTATTTCCGTTTGAATTGTAGAAGTTTACAAAGATCAACGAAGTTTATTAATGTTTTATACTCCCTCCGTCCCTTAAAAAAGTTTTCGTTTTGACTTTTTGAGGATTTAAGGGGAGTGTATTTTGGTGTTGTTTTTTCGGAAATGTTCTTTGATGTGATGTATAAAGTAGGATGAGACTTTTTTGCGGGACAGAAAGAGTATATGAAAAGACTTTTGGTTAAAAGTATTTAATTACTTCCCCCGTCCCATAAAAAAGTTTCCATTTGGATTTTTATAAAATTTAAGGGAGAGATATATTTATATTGATTTTTCAAAAATATTCCTGATGTGATGTGTTAAATTAGGATGTGATCTATAGATTATTAATTAGTAATAAAATATGATGTGATAAGTAGGATAAAATTGGTAGAGGTAAAAATGATTTTTTAATAGAATTGTAAAAGATTTAGGATAATGGAGTAAAAAAAGAAAGGTGAAGAAATTTTTGTGATTATGCATATATGACTTATGACTATTCATAATAATTCGAAATTTTTCTAAGTATAACTTCAATTTATTAAGATTGAAAGTTGAAATAACATGAAACGTGTAATAAATAATAATAGATCCAGGAGAGGAAAAAGAATATGAAGAAAAAAATAGAGAATGAAAGAAAAATGTCAACGACATAAATAAAGAAATGGGATGTGTTATTCAAGAATAAGTCATTGTCAACTCCAAACAAGTTATTGTTACTCTCGTTAGTATGTAAAAGATCGAATAATTTGGTTTACAAATAAATTCTACTCCGTACTATAATAATACCTCCATTTATATTTCAACCGACGTTAGAAAATGTAGACTGCCGCATGTCCTTCTATTTCATACTGATCCGTTCGTAAAATTAACGATTTTTATTCCTTGGTAAGCCTCCCCCCACCAAGCCGCTCCGCTCGACATAGGGCCTGTTTGGGAATATCGTTAGAGATTAACGTTAGCGTTTTGGATAAAATTTTAACGGTGCAGATCGCTTTGAAAACGCTAACACTAAACGCTGCTCGTAGATAGCTTTTTCAAAACGTTAACGCTAATCGCTAACACTGTTCCCAAACAGGCACATAATTGTGTTATTCACGTTTCTATATTCTAAAGTAACATCATGTGTTATAAGAGGTAGAAAAGACCCTTCCAAGCTTTTAAGCATGAAGACAAACAATTTTGTCCAATCATTTTTTTTATTATGTTTCATACTTCACATTTCACATAGGATGCACGTTTTTTTTTGGGTATTTCACAATTTACCTGATGGAAAGACTATCTATGCAACATTTTTTTAGGCCATAAGTATTATTTTACTTACGACTTTTGAAAGTACAAAGACTATTTATTAACTCATAGAAAACCACAAAGACTCTTTATGCATTAGCTCTTTAATTCTCCATGACACTATTCTTTTTTTGAATATGTTTATTTTGAATAAAATTCATATTTTTAAGAATGCAAGAAATGGCAAAAGATCTAAAAATCAATAGATAACATGATTATGTTATTTTACTACGAAGTAAATAAGCAACACAAATAGACAAAAAAAAAGTGAATAAAATTCTATAACAGTAATGTAGTGACATTCATGAAAAGTTGCCGGCCGTTCTGCCCAAATATTTGTACAAAAACAGCCCAAATCTATGTTTGTGCAGGTCTAAAAATCTTTATTAAAAAACAAAATACTTACTAATTTAAAATAAAAAACTGATATTAATTACTTTTTGCTTCTATGAATGTGCTAAAAAGAATGTTTTAGGAGATCAACTACTACTGCTACAGCTAACAATGAAAGGTTTGACATAGTGGATGAACTCATGGGTGTTGATCCCCAGTTTAAGATCAACTTTCCCACCCCCTAACCAAAAGAATTCAGGTTGGAGTTTTGTAATGGCTTCATCCAAGATCACCTGCCAAAACCACATTTCTTAAAACCATTATTGCATTGTTATTTAATTTCATCTAGTGCAAATAATATAAACAACAAACCGAGTAGAATCCCACAAATAGAGAGACTGTTTCCAAGAGGCTCTCGTTTCGAACATGAAGTATAACACAGTAGCACGAGCAAAGTAAGCGCACCACGACCGAGACTAGAAACTAGTTTAAATCACCGAAAACACACATCTACAAACTAGACTAAAAATGCACCAACATAAACTACAAACTAAGGCTCAAAGATGTCTAACCAAGTGCTCCAAACCTAAATCTTCTTATCTAAGGCCATCTCTTTGGTAAGATCTTGCAATTGTAAGTCCTATCTGATCTATACACCTCATTCCAACTCTTCTAGGTCTACCTCTACCCCACCCCTTCTCACACCCACAACTGCAGTCTCGAAACTAAGGCCTCTACACTTCTCCTCTTCACGTGTCAAACCACATCAGTCTAGCTTCCCACAGCTTATCCTCCTCAGATAATCCTAACATGCAATAATCTCGTTTGCTGATTCATTCCAACAATCTACACACCAAAAAGGCAAAATCCCACCGGCTTTTTCACCTATTTAAGACACCGTATATACAAGCATAGGACAAGTTTCTTTTGAGAATTAGTTTGCATGGAGGGTTCAAGGTGTACTTTGAAGATTTTAGTATTATCTTGATGAGTGGAATGTTTCTGAACAAATAAAATGTTAGTTAAGTGTTACTAATATGATCATCTAGTGTGTTTTCTAATAGTTTTAAGAAAATCTTAAATTTATGTCACAATTAAACTTAGCAGGTTATGTTTTGGGAGTTAAACTTTGGAGGGAATGGCTTTTTCATTTTAAGAATACAGCACTTTAAACATGACAAGTTTTCAATGTCTTAGTCATCTACTTCCCCCATCCCAAAATGATCTCCTCAATTACCTTGTTTGGACGTCCCGAAATGATTGTCTCATTTCTTGTAAGGAAAAAAAGCATTACTTCCTGCATTCCAAAAAAAACTTTACAGTTTGACGTCACGTAGTTTAAGAAAAAATGTTGAATATTGAAAGGGTTTTGGTGAAAAGTAAATAGTGTCTAGTTGAAGTTTATTTTGATAATAGAGAAATACGGAGTATTAGAAACCACATTCATTGTCTAAAAAGAAAAGTGGAGTGTAAAATTCTTTTTTTGGGAGGCCTCAAATAGAAATGTATTGTGTAAAGTTCTTTTTGAAACAGAGTATATTATTCCTCTCCTATGCAAAAGTTTTAACAACACGATTTCACTTTTTTTTATAATTTTGTGGGCTCATGCAGTCGTGCCATTTCACATGGGAAGACAAATTTGAGATGGAGTTAGTATTTATTATCACAAAGCTTTTTTAATTCTCCTACTTTAATTATAAAAAAGTATAAGGAACATTTTTCCTACCTTCCCCTTCACTACCTAACTCCCAAAACATGCCATTTCACACGGTCATTTGAGCACATCACATGTAAACTTGTATACAAGTTCCTTTTGGAATCATGTGCATGCTTTTATGCTAATGCTGAATTTCACAAGTAACCACTTATTTTCTTGCTTTCTTTGGGTTCATTGATTTTGGTTCTTAATCACATGAAAACATATTATTATAAGTGTACTGGTTCCATGATTTCTACTTGCATGAGATGCTCAAAACAAGCATCAACTCCTCAACCCAGTTTAGGTTTGCAATAAACACAGAAGATTGATTACTTACAGGAATGTCTGTTTTCATGCCAATGCATGTCACGCCATTGTGTTCATAGCCCGTCAAATTTCTTGAGATCTCCTCAGGGGCAAGCCTCACTGTAAAGAAATGCAATGAATGATAACCACGTCAAAGCAAACTATATAAATTATTGTCTTAATTTTTTAAACAGGATTCTTAACACCAAAAAACAGGGCAATTTCTTTCAGTTGGACTAGATCCCATCTATGATATTGATGGGTGGTATGCAGATGCCCGCAACACACAAACGACAGGCAAGTTAATCATAGGATCGTTACATTGATATCACATTACAAGCCTGTTTGATAGGTTTAAGTTTTAGCTTATCAGGCATTCATTTTTCACCAAACATTAACTAGTGTCATTGCACTTAAATTGGTAAACATATACTTATTGTTAGATACTCCGTATTTTTTTCTTTACAACAACAAACATCTAGTAAAGTACCACAAGTGGGGTATGGCCAGTATGGCGAGGATAGATGTAAGTTAATCTTACATCTAGCTACAAAGGCTGAGAAAAATATGGTACTCCCTTTGTCCCACAATAATTCTCCAAATTTCCTTTTTCGTCCTTCCCAAAAAGTGGTTCTACTTTCTACGTTTGGAAAGGTTTTTGTGGCCCATATAATTTCTCTCTTATACACCACTTTCAACCACAAAATTTTACTTTCTTCAATCTCCGTGTCCCGTCAATCGTGAAACAATATTGTAGAAGGGAGGGAGAATTTAATTCTTATTTTTTGAATACCTTTTTCTTACAAAAATCAACAAATTCAGTCATTTCAGCCACAATATCAGCAATTTAAGTAATTGTTCCGATTTGATACATTGAAACACTAAAATATGCAAAAAAAAAAATGTCATATCACTACATTTGATTGGCAAATCTAAAACATCATGGATCGTCAAGGAGAGTAGGAGACAAAAACTTACTGTTGAACTTCTTTTTTGCTATGTTACCATTGTTCAGGGTGTACAGAAAATTCTTGACTGCCTCAGCGTTAAACCGAGCAGTATACTGCAATAATAAAATGAGTAAGATGAAAATCATTTGTAATGTACTTTTACTTAATGTTTAGAGTTTAGACTCCAAGAGAAGATAAGAGAGCCATATATGTGACCTGCAGAATGACCACATAGTATTTTGAATTATAACGATCCTTACAATCAGTTACATTACTTGGTGCTTGAGTATTTACCTGCAATCAGTAGACATATTTTATTTACAATTAGAAGGAAAGAGTGAAGTTTAAAGCAAACACCTATCTTTAGATTCAATAACAGCTTTAGTGCATATACTTAATTTAAAATTGCCAAACACTTCCTACATTCACCAATGGTTCATTGATAAGATGCCAATGATGTCTAAAATGCTCAATAGCATGCCTGACCCTATACAGACGGGAGATGCAGAAAATACATGACTTGAAGAGAACAGATATATTTGGGGTGAAAAAAATACTCCATCTGCCACAAACGTTTTCCTACTTTTCCCTTTCATCTGTCCAAGAATAATACTCTGGGTATCATTTTTCTTTTCCCTTCTTGAAAAAGCATATGTGGTATAAAATACTAAATACTTCACTCTCCTCTTAAAAAAATTCAAACCACTCTCCACTTTTCATTATCTTTGAGGCGAAGGGAGTATTTTTACTACTTGATCGGCATGTGAGACTGTAAAACAAGCCATTTTCTCTGGCTCCGGAGCCAAATTTGATTTTTACCGCCACAACCATGTCATACTAATAGAATTAGATGAACACTAATGTGACCAATTTTCGGCATGGGACTTCAGCTGAATCCAACAGGTTACAACCCATCACCATGTGTCCTAGGCTAAACCATTGTAATATGAGGCATATCATAAACATATTCTTGGAAGAAACAAACTCTCTGCTTTCGAGTAGGGGTAGGGTATGCGCGCACACACCCTCCTTTTTGTGGGATTCTACTAGGTTTAATGTTGTATCATAAACACATTATGCCAGAATGACAAAACCTATAGCTTCAATTCCATGTCAAAATTGAGATCTCTAATTCTCTATAACTAATGTTACACTCATGCCATCCATGGAAATTCCACTCTCTACTCTCGGGTGGAATCTGATTCCCAACTTCCCACGAGAATCACTTCACCTCTCCAAGGAAAATAATCCATTTTTACAACTTGCTTGCATTGATGATTGATCAAATGAGATACTGAACAATAGAATCAATTTCGTCCAGATAATTTCTAAGAAAACTAATTACTACGCACTTTTCAATTTCATCCCCATTCTCGTCCGGCATACTCTATAATTTGTAATTTATGCAGAAGAAAAAATCGAAACATATAATGAAAGGATTACAAACCCTAAACTACATAGAAACAGTACCAGAACGATGCTTTTGCAGAGGTGATTGACGGAAGCGGCTCCCAGGACGTCCCTGCGAGCCTCGAGAGACCACTGGTAGTAGTCAGAGGAGACGCGCCTGAAGGCGAAGTTGTTAACGCCGTTCTCGCGGAGTAGAGCAGAGAGTCGGTCTTCAGTGGTGGTTCCGACGGCGGCGGAATCATCGTTAGAAGAGATGGAGAGGTTTCGAGAGATTTCGACGCCTAGAATGAAGTCTTCGAGGTCAGTTATATGTTGGAGGATTTCGATCTGAGCGCGCTCCAGCTCCGCCAACTCCGCCCCCATTGATATGAGACTATCCATATCAAACTCCTCCATTCATCTGAACGATGACCTGAACGATGCTCGGAGAAGCTCTCAAGCCGGAAGCCGATATGTAAGACGGTAGCCTCAACTAGCATAAAAAAAAGTACTCCGTACTACGTATTTTGTTATTGGAAAATGGAAATTCAACTGGTCAAAAATAAGTATTTATATAGACGTATAGAAAATATTATACCCATTATAATATTTTATCTGTCCCACAAAAATCTTGCCCTTTTGTTTTTTCTCCCTCCCAAAAAATACTAATTATTTCTCACAAAAAGTCTATTATATCTCTCAATGCCAAACCCTATCCAAACTCAACCATATCCATCATCTACCCTATCCAACCGTAACTCTTTCTATCCCTACATCGCTCTTCACCACCGATTCCCAGAGCTTCTCTCATCTTCTTCTCTCTTCTTCTCTCAGAACTAATCTCTAAATCTTCTTCTCCTCACTGAATTGATGAAAAATCGCGACCCTACGATGCCCTCATTTCAATTACTCGAAGAGAGTGATGAGGATACATCTCTTCCTCATCAAAGATCCCCTCCACCCACTTCTCGAAAGAGGAAGGATGAGGAAATTTGGAGATCTGGCTTGGATGGAGGTGGATCAGACCACTCTGAGACGGATCCAACTTGGAATTTCCAAAAAGAGTATTAGGGGGGGTTACTACTATGACCCTGAAAGGAGTTATGAAGAAGAGAATAGAGAAGAAGACTTGGAATCCGTGACATCTGTAGAGATCTTGGACATGTCTCGGAATGAGCTTAATTTTCCAAAAGCTACTAAAGATCCGGCTAAACGTAATCGTTTCCAAGCAAGTAAGACGTCGTACTCCATCCGTCCACAAATAAAGTTCTCACTTTCCTTTTTCGTTCATCCAAAAATAATCTTCCCATTTATATTTTTGGAAGTGATGGTTATAAACCACCGAGAATGAAGAATAATATAAATTTTAGAGAGAGAGAATGCAAAGTAGGAGTTTATTCGTTCTAAACTTTGGTCCATTACAATGAGGGGTTTCGCCCCTTTTATAGGAGATACATTACATATGGTCAAAGTCCTCTGATCGAGGCTCGTCGCCTAGCAGACGTCATCTCTGTCATGAGTTGTCATTTTCATACTATCGCTATCGCACAGTCAACGCGGCCAATCGCTATCCGCCGGTCGCCATCACGTAGGTCGCTGTCACGGAAGTCGTTGTCCCGCCTCTAGCCGAGCCCATGAGGCGTGCCGAGCTCACGGGGCGAGCCGAGCTCACAGGTCGAACAGGGAGCTTCCACGTGGCTGTTGGGGTCCGGCTGACGTGTCCTTCGGAGCTATCCTCCATCACAAGCCCCCCACTCTCCGGGTTTCGTTGCAATCGGCGATGAGACACGAGAGAGTGTAGGTACTGTAGGAAAGCGGCGCGGGGGCCCACGTGGAAGAGGTTGGCAGGCCACTGGTGCCGTTTGGGCTTCCGCCATCATGAAGGGGTGCGCCTTTTCGCCTCCCTAGGACAAGTGGCGGCCCATCGTTGCACCCATTCAACCCTTCCTCTATAAATATCAACTCCACCCCTTTCATTCCCCACTTAGAGAGAGAAAGTAGGGGATTTCTTTTGCCGTCGCTAGCCTTCTCACCGTCGTTCTCGTCCACCTCCCGGCTCCGTACTAGGTTAGTCTTCCTCGTCCTTGTTCTTCCATGTCTTCCCAATCCTCCGTCTTTCGCCAGTCCGAGTCCGAGCGCGTTGCTGAGGGCTCTGTCGCCGGCCCCGCGCAGGAGAGCGACTCCCGCTCGCCCTCCGTCGAGGAGATAGCCGAGGCGGTCGAGGTCCCTCTTCAGTCCGAGCCTCGTAACCAGAGGCGGACCATTCTCGAGGACTCGGGGATCCGAGCGCAAAGGTGCACCCTTACTCGGGAGGAGTACCGCAAGGCGAAGCGCCTAGCCTCGGCGCCGGGCGTCACCGTGCGCCGTCCCACTTCTGAACAGTCAGTCTTTGATGCTCCTCCGGGTTGCTTCGCCATCCACCTCAAGTCCCTTGAGTACGGGTTCCGCTTCCCCCTCCATCAGTTAGTCATAGATTTTTTCCTCCATTTTGATTTTCTCCCTTGCCAAGTCGTGCCCAAATCCCACTGCTATCTAGCGGGATTTCTCATTCGTTGCCAAGGGACCGGGGTTCGCCCCGACCTGGCCCGTTTCTTGCTTCTCTTCCGGTTGGCGAAGTCGTCTGGCCGGGCGAACTCCGACTCGGGCTCGTATGCCTCAATATTCCAAAGACAGGAGAAGCTCTTCAAGACGAGGAAGGACTCCGCCAAGAGTTGGAAGGGGAAATTCGTCTTCGTTTCTCTTTCCTCGGGCTCCCCTTTTCGTAAAGAACCCCTCAGCTCCTTTCGCCGTCGCTCCGTGTGCGTCACCTCGGACAAGATGCTTGAGGATGTAGAGACGCTCTGCCGAGGGGGGCCCTTCGAAGTCAGTTCGATAGTAACGAACGATGCTTTAGCGGCACTCGGCTTCGTCTTCCTATCCCCGGATGATACTCAGCGGAGCATCGAAGAAGGCCCCTCAGGTCAGTGCAATCTCTCCTCCTCGGCCATCCGTGGGTCGCGACTACACTCTCTCGTGTCTCATCGCCGATTGCAACGAAACCCGGAGAGTGGGGGGCTTGTGATGGAGGATAGCTCCGAAGGACACGTCAGCCGGACCCCAACAGCCACGTGGAAGCTCCATGTTCGACCTGTGAGCTCGGCTCGCCCCGTGAGCTCGGCACGCCTCATGGGCTCGGCTAGAGGCGGGACAGCGACCTACGGGACAGCGACTTCCGTGATGGCGACCGGCGGATAGCGATTGGCCGCGTTGACTGTGCGATAGCGATATGATGAAAATGACAACTCATGACAGAGATGACGTCTGCTAGGCGACGAGCCTCGATCAGAGGACTTTGACCATATGTAATGTATCTCCTATAAAAGGGGCGAAACCCCTCATTGTAATGGACCAAAGTTTAGAATGAATAAACTCCTACTTTGCATTCTCTCTCTCTAAAAACTTATATTATTCTTCATTCTCGGTGGTTTATAACCATCAGGAAGGTTTTTCATAACCAAAAGTCTAAATTAACCTCCCCACCCACTCTCTATCTTTTTTTTTTCTTTTCCCTTCCCCATCCATTTCCTCTCCCACCCATCACTTTTTCTTTCTCTCTTTTCTCTCTTCTTCTCCCATTTCTTATCTTCTTCTTCTTTCTTCTTTTCTTTTTGTTCTTTCTTCTCTTTTCCACTTCTGATTTTTTCCGTTAAATTGAGAGCAATGAAGCAGCGATCGAGGTAAAGGTGGGGTAGCGAAGCAGTGGCAGTGGTCGGAGATGATAGGGCAGTCCGATCTCCTCATCCTCCTCTTCTTCTTCTTCTTTTTCTTCTTCAATTCTCATGGTCCAATGCCCAATCTATCTTCAACTCTTCTCCTTTCTCTTCTTCTTTCTTGTCCATCTCCGTCAGATCTGAATTTTGATTCAGGTAGCATCGCCAAAGAAATCGAAGGTGGTGGCGGAGATTAGGCACCGATTGATGATGGTGTGTTGGACCGGAGGGAAGGAGCCCCAAATTTCTTCCTTCTTCGGCTTTTTTTTATAAAAATTGAAGGAGCGGGCTAAGGTGACGGTGAGCAGTGAGGCGGCGGTCGTAGTTGACGTGGTAGGCCGTCGATGATAATGGCAGAAGAGAAGGTTCTGCCTGGGAGGGGCATCCGATTGCGCACAGAGAAAAATGGGTGGACAAGAAAAGAAGAGAAGGAAAGGGATGAGGGATGGAGGGGTATTTTGGGAAAGTCAAAGTAAATTTCATGTTTTATTAAACTATGTGCCAAGTCAAAGTGAGAACTTTAATCTTGGACGGAGAGAGTATATACTTTGATTTCTTTGCATACGGAGAATTGATTTTTTTAGCAAACTGATGATGCAAACTTGATTAAGTTATGAAGACAGTTCTAAATATGTGATGTGTTTTGCTATAATGTCACCACTTTCATGTTGGGGACTTACACAAACCACATTTATGTTGGTATGGTCTCTGCTGTTTTTGGTCTACCTCTGTTTTGAAGTGTGAAAGGCTATGTATTTTTCTGGTGATTTAAGTTGTGTTTGGTGATTTTGAAAATTCACATTCTTTGTGGTTCACAATCATTTGTGGTTCTGGACAGTAGATTTAGACACTTCCATTGCATAGCCAAGTACGTGTATGTTCTTGCGCCTGTGAAATGGAATTGCCAACATCTTTGGAATGTTCACCAACACTTCTTTTCTACAAGAGTTGCCTTTCCACTGACAATGAACATAAATTGGTAAACCAGCCAGCATCTGACCTCTAGCTAAACTCCATATGGTCCCTACTGTTTTTCTGGATATGTTGAACTCTCCTGCCACTGCTTTAATGCAACCATGCTGAAGTTTTCCATGTTTATAAAACTGTAGTAACCTGCCCACTATTCTTCTTCTTTTTTCGCTACATTGTTCCCCAACTTTTTTTTGTGAACGTGTTGCGTCTTCTTCTGTGTCTGTAGGAGTTTCAAGGTTGAGGAAAGGGACTTAGAGAAGTGGCGGCTGGTGGGGGTGGTTCTCACTGGCAAAATCATCTTCTGATTTTGGAGAAAGAGACTCAAATGAAAGTAAAGATGGTGACGACTCCATAAAGAAGAGAATAAAGAAGAGAAGAAAGCATTGAATGCATTCAATGCTTTCTATTTATAGATATAGTTCTAAATTTGGATTGTTGTAATTGGAGGGAATTGAAAAATTCCCCCAAAAATTTCCCTCGTGCACTCCATAAATTTGAATATGATATTTGTAATGAATAGTGATGTAATGATTATGTTGATTTGATGGGTTGCCTATTCTTTTTTTAATTATTTCAAGTACATCCATTTCCACTTGTACACACTTTACTTTTTCTTTTAATTAGGGCGTGGGGGGAGTGGGGGTTGGGCAATTCAATGCCAAAATATCGCATCCTTATTTAGGGGTAATAGTCAATGTGTGAAGTTTTTTGAGGAACAGATGAAGTATATGTTTGGGGGTCTTTAAAATTAATACTCCCTCCGTCCTAAAACTATCTTCCTGTTTGTGTTTACGAGATTTGACCGATTTTATTTTCAATTCAATTTATTTCATTGTAGGTGTAAAATTAAAAAATAAAATTTACATAATTAAAAACTACATTAAAAGTTCTACAAAACGAGAGGTGACAAGACTATATTATTTTATCAAATAAGTAGTGAAAATAGGTAAAGAAAATGATTTAAGTTTGACCGTGTGAATAGTAACTGGGAAGATAATTTTAGAACGGAGGGAGTACGTAGTATATAGTATTGACTAATGTACTCCAAACGTACATTTTATCTATTTGGCCGTTAGGAATAAAAATTTCAATACTTTAAAAAACATTAAATTCTATTTTAATGATCATTATTTTATTAAATTTAAATGAAATATATTAATTTTTCAAAGTAAAAGAACTTTCAATCCTAAGGACGAAATGTAACATCTGAATATAATATCACAAATTTTAATGACTTAGAATATATTTCGGAAAATGTAAGACTTGATCATTTTTACCTGAGAAATCGAGAGTATCCTAAATATATTTCAGAGACTTGGGAGTTACTACTAATAAGAAATGGAGAGTATCATAGAGTAATTAATTGTACTTCCTTCGTCCTAAAATGATCTATTTCTTTTTCTTTCCGTCCTAGAACTATCTTTCCATGCCTAAAAAAGATTATGAAATGCCTAGTATATATACCCCTTTTTTTACTTCGCGCAACCATCCCACCCTTAACAATTACATCTTCGTCTGTCTCAATCTACCTTGGCTGCTTTGATTAGAAGAGTTTTTGGTGTGTCATTATGTACCGAAAATCTAGTTTAAAAAGAGATGTGAAGTAATCTGAGATGAAAATGGCGGTTGGAAAAAGTAAGATTGAGTAAAGTGGTAAAGTAAATACGTTGTACGTGTCCTCAGAGATAACATAATTGGTTGGAAATCAATTCAAGTGCAAAGTATAATTATACACTAATATCAAATCGTGTAAATGTGAATCAAGGCTAACTAGAAAGAAGAGATGAACAATATGAAATGCAAGTAAAAGCAACTAGACTAATGCAATTAACAATAATAAATTGAAATGCAAGAACAAAAGGAAAACAAGCCTAGGTTAGAGATTATATTTAATGTTAACAATGCAATTGCCATGGGATAGTGGAAAATGAGAAATCGGCTAGAATGCGAGCAAATCACCCCGATTTCACCTCCATGAAAATCGATGCTGGTCGCCAAAGCACCTAGCCGTTGTTGTAATTCCCGCTAGTTGCTCGGATGTAGCTGGAAGAATGCAGAATGACCCTCACCGATGTCGTTCGCAGAAACGTCAAGCTCCATGCAGGTCGTCGATGCCGGTCGCCTTTTTTAAAAAAATTATCTAATTATATATATTAATATATTATATGTTAATTAGATAAAATGATATTTTGAAAATATTTAATATATCCCGTAATAAATTTAATAAAACTATTTTTGTATTAATATCTAACATCATTTTTATTTAATTTAAGGTCAAAGTTTATCAATTTTAACCAAAAAAAAATAAAAAATGGACAAATAATCAACCAATACCTTAAGTCCTATTTAGAGCACATTTTTAATTTGTTTTGTTTTGTCACGACGCCTGCTACTCTAGGGTTATAATATGTAACAAATTAAACGATGATAATATATATATATATATATATATATATATATATATATATATATATATATATATATATATATATATATAAAATCTATCTGCTATTAGTCTTGGATCGATCTGTAACAAGCTGGCATGAGCTCTATTCTTTTGTCTTGACTATATATGGTCACTATGTATATGGTTTGATTAATGTATATGTATATTTGTGTATATATATCTTAAACAAAATGCTAGAAACTCACCAAATTTGACACCAATAATTTAGTATAAATATCGTCAAAGACATACACAGATAATGATTGTTTGCATGTCAAAGATAATAACTATAATGTCGCCTTTACGTCAGACACAATAAGTGTTTGTGTTATATCGGGAGGATGTAAATTCTTGATGTCAAATCTAAGGTTCCGTTTTTTTATACACGAAATTCAAACTATAGAATTAGAATTAGAGACAACAATTTTAATTTTACTGTTTGGTAGCACAAAATATGTGGATTTGGGATTAGAGTGCCAAAAATAAATTGGAAATGGAGATTCAATTACATCCAAATTAGTTCCATAAAATTCATGTTTTTAATTCAATTCTAATCGCATCAATTCCGTGTACGAAACTAAATAGTTTTGTAGAGAAGTTGCATTGGGAAGACAGCTGATCTATCCATTACAGATAAGATGGATCAAAATGAAGATATACAGTGCATGTGCATGTTGAGTGTCACCCATCTCGATCTATTATTGTTTAAATTACTCCCCTATCATTTTGACATCTTGTTTTCGTCTTATTTTTAACTAAACTTTATTGCTACAATTAATTAGAACTAAACACGAGGTTTGATATGCTTTGTTCGACGGTAGCCTTTAGTATAAGTATTTTCAAAATTAATTTAGTTGTTCCCTAATAACGTATAATTGGAGATCTTTTTTTTTATTTTAAGGGTCCACATGGTAGACGGAATTAAGAGAATTGGAATTGAATGTGAAGTTGAAATTATATGGAATTATTTTGAATAGAATTGAGTTATTCATTTCCTATTCATTTTTGGTACTATCAATTCCAAATCCACATATTTTGGTGTTACCAAGCAACAAAATTAAAATTGTTGTCCTCAATTTCAATTTCATAGTTTGAATTCCGTGTATCAAATGAAGCCTATGTATGTTCTCGTAGACATTAAACCGTAGACCCAAAACTCTAGACTAAAGATTTAAGACTATCTTCATTCTTCTGAATTAATTGTCATACCCTTTTTTTAGTTTATGTCAAAATAATTTTATTATTTCCACATTTAGCAATGTAAAGAATATTCAAGCGGTCTTTGATACTCTCTCCGTCCCAAAAAGATTTACATGTTTCAAAAAAATTGCGTCCCACAATCCCTTGCCCATTTCTATTAAAAAACCACTTTTACCCCTTACTTTTTCAAACCATACCTATCACATTATACTTTTTTCCTAATAATCTACACATCACATCATACTTTACCCATCACATCAAGGGTATTTTTGGAAAGTCAACCCAAAATTATCTCTCCCTTAATTTCTACTTTAGTCAAAACGTACCCATCTTAATGAGACGGGGGGAGTATTTATTTTTCTTCAAAATAAATATCAATAATATTTTTTTAAATTTTTAACATTATTCTTAAATTCTCTGAAGTCATACTAGCACAATTAATTTGGATAAAAAAAGAGTAAATTTCTAAACTTAAGACTTTAGAAAAAAGTTTTGAAAGCCAACTATAAATACCATACTCAATGCACAACTCAAACAACACCATCCAATTCAAGAAGAGCCTAGCTAAGAGTCTAAGACTACCCTTTAATTTGTTTGGGAAAAGAAAATAAAATGGCTAAGTCCTTTGCATCACTAGCCCTTCTCCTCACACTAAACCTCGTCTTCTTCACATTGGTCACCTCAACATACGTCCCCTGCCCGCCGAAAGGCGGCGGCGGTCCAAGCGGCGGCCACGGCCACCACCACCACGGCCACTCCAAGGCAAAGTGCCCTAGAGACACGCTCAAGTTGAGGGCATGTGGTGACCTGTTGAATGACTTGGTGCACCTAGTGGTGGGCACCCCGTTGCAGAACCAGTGCTGCCCGCTCATCGAGGGTCTGGTGGATCTCGACGCCGCCGTCTGCCTCTGCACCGCCGTGAAAGCGGACGTGTTGAGTGTCATTAATCTCGAGGTCTCTCTCGCCCTCACCTTGATTCTCAACTACTGTGGGAAGAACATGCCAGAAGGCTTCAATTGCCAGTAATAATTATTCAATAAGAATAATTAAGTATTGTTCTTAATTAATTATTGGTTTGTTTCTTCTTTTTTTTCCCTTTATTGTTTCTATTGCTTGCATTGGTGTGTTTTTTTGTTTTATTATTGCTCTGAGCTTCAAGCCTTCACCATTATATTGGATCCTATCTAGCTTATATATGTTCTTATATCTTTTGTTCGCTTTCTATGGGTCTCTTTGGTAATAACATTAGCGATTAGTATTATTCTTTTGAGAAAAATTATCTACAGGCAACGTTTAGTGTTAGCATTTTCAAAATAATCTGAATTGTTAAAATTTTATTTCAAAACGCTAACACTAATTTCTAACACTATTCCACACATGCAGGCCCTATATTATTCTTATAAATATTATGGGGTGTGGTTTTATACTAGCTATGTTTGTATTATGTTTGGATTAAGGAATTTGAAAGGGAAAATAAAAGAACATAAAATATAGTTTTTCTTGTTTGGTTAGATAAAATAAAAGTTATTATGTTTGGATAATGAACAATGATCTTATATTAAAAAAGTCATTATGTTTTAGTCCTAATAATTAGGTAATTAAATTCCCTTTTCAAAGAAATAAAAGAAAATTATTTTCACAATATAAAACTAAAACATAATGACTTTATCTAAATATGACTAAAACATATTTCTCCTTTCAGAGAAACAAAAGAAAATTATTTCTCAAATTAGGACTAAAACATAATGACTTTCTCAATATAGGACCATATATTTTTATTTTCCAATGTAGGATCAGACCATTAGTCATTATCCAAGTAAATGTTTACTATCACTGGACATTATTTCTCCCACTAGACATTATTAAGTACTATTTAGAGAATAAAAAAATTTAAATACTGCATTAACAATTGACTTATGCTTTAGTTTTATTTAGTGTAAATTTTTCTAATCCAAATTAGTAACCAAACACAGTGTTATTCTTAATCAGTGTTACTCCACATTCAAAATGTTTGAGCCTCACTTCTTGGGAGGTTAAAATTATTGAATTAGATTGAGTAGAGAGCTACAAAAATAGACTATAATTAATTTAAAAAAGAATCAAAATAGAATTTCAGTTCAAATTAAGCATACAAAGTTACAAACTACTCGTACAAAATATTCTTAAAAGAGAAAAATAAATGGTGTACTTGGTCTATATTCAATTCAAACAAAAAATCATTCTCTAGGGCTGGGAGTGGAACAACGTTTGGTGCCCTCTTCCGGCGCCCGGCGGTGTCCGTCTATTCATGTAACTACCGCCGGCGAAATTAGAGTGTTCATTCCCCTGCGCCGTCGGGCTACCGGGAGGCGTCGCTAGCGGGTCACCTTCATACCCAATCCCCACGTACTGCTGGACCACCAGAACCGACACGGTGGAGGCGAAGTCCGACGACGCCAGTAAATCTCCGATGGCCCCGAGCTCCGGGCACTCGCTCCAGTCGGTCAACCCAGCGGTCAGCGGCGAGATGCTCCCCTGCCCTCTCCCTACTATGAACAAGTCGTGCATCTCGTCTATCGCCCGTATCGCCGCCACCGTCTCCTCCCCGTGGTTCACCACGACCTCCGTGTACGCTGCCATGTCGTCGCTCGCCGCCCTCGTCCGGAACTGGTTCATAATCTCCTCGTCGAGCTGCTTCTCCCGGTCGGAATCCGTCACCACCGTTAATACCCCGCCGGTGGAGCCGTTATTCGTATTCCGGCTGGAGTTCTCCGGCGGGTCAACGGCCGCCTCCCCGGGGAGAAACCGCATCACGGTAAGGGTAATGCCCGGGTGATCACTCATTCGCATCCCGTAAGCTAACGCTTCCCGGTCGTCCGGTCCACCAAAAAATAAAACCAAAATGTTGTGTGCAACCTGGTAAATTTAGAAAACAATAATGTTACCGGACCATTTCCATGACATTAAGACTCCATGTCATGGGATGACTAGGGAGTGCTTTGGTGTCTCGTTAGTAAAATTGACGGTTACTAACTCACTAACCCCGGTAAACTCCCCCACCTTGCCTTAGCCACCCTTGCACCCACAAGTTAATTTTGACGTTGGAGGCTAACCAATGTTAAATACTCTCTCTGTCCACCATAAATCTTCCCATACACTATTCAAAGGATCAAACTTTACTCACTTTGTTTGCTCATTTTTACTAGTCATTGCGTAAAATAATATAGTCTTGTCACCTTTAGTTTTGTAGAATTTTTCATGCAGTTTATTACAATATAAATTTTATTTTAAAATTATACTCTTATAATCAATTCAATTAAATTGAAAATAAAGTCGGTCAAGCTTGGAGATCTCAAGTGGAAGGAGGGAGTATCTTTTTAATCGTTGAAAAAACGAGAAACCAATATGTATGTACCTGGTTAGAGGGTAACCTAGTGGACCCATTTAAACCACGGTCAACGAGGATGCCAATGGAGCATGGGGCGTTAGCGAGAAGGTTCTGGTTGACGGTACGGAACGCCGGATTGGTGGACTCCATCCCGCCGTCGACCGTTTGCTGCTTATGAAACGGGATGATGACGATCGCCACGCGCTTATCCTCGGCGAAGCTACAGATATCCTCGTGCATCGTCGAGTACGGCGAGATCACGGTGAGCGGTTGGACGGAGACGCAGCCGGCGTGTTGTTCGAAGTTCTCGAACGCGTTTACGATGTGGTCAGACTGGGCCTGGGTCCGGTTCAGGGCGGGCCGGCCCGATTTCCGGGTGTAGTGGACGATGAGCATGGCGGAGGCCCGCCCCGTGAGCTCGACGAGGTGGCAGACGTAGACGCAGATGGGGGATTTCTTTGTCGGGTGGGAAGCTTCTAGAAGGTTGATGATCGTTGGGACGTTTCTCGGCGTGTGGATGCAGACTAGGACTCGGAATTCGCTGTCGGACTTTACCTTCTGCACGGTCCTCCGCTTGTAGGGTACGTATTTTCTCGCCGGCTTGTAGATCGTCGTCACCACCGGACTTATTATCGCAGTCATTAACACCGCCACCACTATCATTATCGCAAATGACTCTGTATCTAACACCTGCAAGTTACAAATGTCGGAAAGCCAAATTAGTATGTCAATCAAAAACTCAAACTTTAGCTTAAGTCTAGAGTGACATTGTGGTCAAAATTTAGACCAATATGTCAATATAATGCAAGATGGATGTATACATACCTTTTGGTCTTTACCAACGTTTAGAACGATCATCTCAATAAGACCCTTAGCATTCATGAGCAAACCAAGGGTGAGCCCTTCATTGAAGGGCATTTTATAGTATAGCGCGACAAGAAGGGTTCCCGCCACTTTTCCCACACAAGCGAGGACGATCACGAGAGCCAAAATAGACCACGTCCCGAGGCCTTTTATTGACCCAATCTCTGTCTTCAGACCGCTACTCGCGAAGAATAGCGGCAGAAGAAGCCCGGAAATGAAATCCTCTAACCTCTCGATGAGCGTGACACCGAGCGATCCGTTCGGGATGACCAAACCGAACACGAACGCTCCAAACACGGAATGCGTCCCAATCGCGTCAGTTATGAACCCAGAGATCATAACCCCGGTCAGTATAAGACAAATGTAGAAATCGCTGACCGGTTCGCCCTCTGGGGTTTGCCTGACCACCCACTCTACAAACGGTCTTACAACGTAAACACAAAAGCAAACGAAGGCGATGCTCGATAGCAGCACCCAGAGTGAGGATATCGTCATGGTCTCGTTCTCAGCGAAGGCGATCGCGAAGGCCAGCAATATCCACGCGCAGACGTCGTTGATGAGCGCCGCGGACATTGCGATCTTCCCTATCTCCGTGTTGAGGAGCTTCAACTCCGCGAGAATCCTCGCGAGGACGGGGAAGGCGGTGATGGAGAGGGCGACGCCGAGGAAGAGGATGAACGTCTCTTGTTTCATGGTCTGGGACCTGCGGTGCAACGTGTAGGAGAACGAAACCCCGATGAGGAAGGGCAAGACCATGCCCGATATCGCTATGGCCAACGCCTTCTTCCCCGTGCGCCGGATCACGCTTAGGTCCATCTCCAAGCCGACGAGGAAGAGGAAGTAGAGAAGCCCTAAGTTTGCCATTGTCTCAAGAACCATCACACTCCTTAGAGGGAAAACTGTGAAGGCAAATGTCGCACTTCTCCCTAGCACTGATGGACCCAATATTATGCCACCCTACATGCATGACCCATCACATTCATTCATTATGGATGCACAAAAATAAAAAGAAATGCCGAGCATTATTTATGTGAAAGTTGCACTAAATAGCACTAAAAAAAGATACACATTCCGTTCCTTTAAACTCTTCTCATTTTGACTTTGGGCCAAAATAAGGAAAGTGTAATTTTAGTTGACTTTCTAATTTTGCCTCTGATGTGATAGTTTGGTTATTAGTGAAAAAGTATGGTGTGATAGGTAGGATATGAAAAGATAGGAGTAAAAGTGGTTTTTTAATAGAAAGGGGAAGTGTTTCAGGGAATTGGTAAAAAACGAAGGGGAAGGGTTTTATGGAACGGGGGGAGTATATTTTTGCCAGTGGCGGTGGACATTTACTTGAACAATGACCAGTAGACATTGAACACTGGTATTACATTGGAAAATAAAAACATATGGTACTATATCGGGAAAGTCACTATGTTTTAGTACTATTTAGGTAAATTTCCCATTATTTATCTAGATTGACACTATCAATAACAATCACGTCCAAACAATTAACATTTGTGACACTGAAAGTGCCAATTTTTTCGTCAATCCTTGATGTTACTACTATAGAAAAATACTATCTTGTATATTTCCAAAATCTCCGTCGAAATTTTCATACTTGGGGGCGTTTTATTTGAAGTTTTTGATATAGGAAGTACTCCCTACGTTTCAAAATGAAGTTTTCTTTCACTATTTACGGATTTAACTTTATCCACTTTTTTTAAATTTACCCTCCTTATTTCATAAAATAATACTCCCTCTGTCCACCATAGATCTTCCCAGACACTATTTACAGGGTCAAACTTTACTCACTTTGTTTGCTCAATTTTACTAGTCATTTTATAAAATAATATAGTCTTGTCACCCCTAGTTTTGTAGAACTTTTCATGTAGTTTATTACTATATAAATTTTATTTTAAAATTTTACTCCTATAATCAATTAAATTGAATTGAAAATAATGTCGGTCAAACATCGTAACACGTAATGGGAAGATCATACATGGACGGAGGGAGTATGAGTATAATCATGTAACCTCTTGTTTAATTAATTTTTTAGGGTAATGAATTCAATTGAAATAAATTGAATTAGAACTTCAATCAAATATTGTAAATGGCAAAAAGAACTTCTTTTTGGGATGAAGTGAATACCAAACAAAGCAAATTGAAATCTCTTCTACATGGGAAATCTCAATTTTTCTTACAAATGAATGTTAAACTCAAAAAAATACTTTTTGATATTAATAATTTACCTAAATAAGACTAAAACATAATGACTTTCTCAGTATAAGACCATATGTTTTTATTTCTCAGTGTAGGACCATTGGTCATTATCTATTAGTCATTATTCAATTAAATGTCCAGCATCACTTGGACATCATTCTTTTCACTAGTCATTGTTTAGTCCTATTTGGGAAATAAAAAAGTTTAAGTCCTACATTAGAAAATGACTTATGTTTTAGTCCTATCACCAATAATTATTCCAAATTTCTAACATATTCTATTTAAAGAGTTACCAAAAGTTTTAAAATCGAAATCATTTCTTCTAAATTTCAGAACTTACGAGAATCTCGGCAATGACGCGAGGTTGACGAAAGGGTTTGAGGAAGAAGACGAGGAGGCGAGTGGTGACGACGACGAGAGTCAATTGAAGGATGAAGAGGGGGAGGGAGTAATCCAGCGGGTTGTCGCCCTGCCATATCCCGTGCGTCGTGATCATCGTCGGCGCGTAGCATACTATCGTCTCCTCCGACCGGTTCCCCTGCGACAACACTATGTCCGCCATTTATCCGGTCCTCTGATCTCTCGAGTTCCGATCCGATCGGCCGGAATTTGATTTTTCCGATCACTCTCTCCGGTGACGCCGTCGGGAGTTCTTTAGAGAACATTCATTTCTGCATGCTTGACCGTGCATGAGTTCCGCCGGCCGCCGTGTGGATTACCTCGTTCTTGGATTAATGAATGGTCAAAAAATTGTTTTCGTTTTTTTTTTGAGGAAAATAGTTTCTTTTTTTATTACATTAATTTGGTAGAGAGAAAGAGAGAGATTAGGTTATTTTCTTGTGGTTAAACGCCACTTTTGGATGCTACGTACAATGCATGACTCCATTTAAATCATCAGACATAAATTAAGCGCTATGAAATTAATACGGAGTAATTAAAATGAAAGTTATTATTACAAAAAATATAATTTACAAAGTACACATTGCTCAATTCAAACAATATATTATTAATATTTTATTTTTGAGAAATTTATCTTAATAGAACTAAAACATAATGACTTTCTCAATATAAGATCATACGGAGTATGTTTTTATTTCTCAATGTAGGACCTTAAGTCATTATCAATTAGTCATTATTCAGGTAAATATTCATCATTACTGGGCATTATTTCTCCCACTAGACATTATTAAGTCTAACTTATTTAGGGAATAAAAAAGTTTAAGTCATACATTGGAAAATTACTTATGTTTTAGAGAATAAAACTTTTCATAAGTCTACAATCACAAATTCGAAAATTTTGATTGACTTGATTCTTTGACAAATATTTTAAAGTTTTTGGTTTGTTCTAAATTTTTTGTTGTTAAAATCGACAAACATTGACCATACATTGAATAAAATTGATATTTTTTTCCGCCCAACAAATAGTTCTCAGCTATTATTACGTCATCTCGATAACTTATATTTGTTGGTATGTTTTTATCAATCATTTGATAACATAAAATATTCTAATTACATCTTGTTTCGTAGAACTTTTGATGTGGTTTTGAATAATGTAATTTATACTCCCTCCGTTCTCAAAAACACTTCGGGGCTGTTTGTTTCAGCCTCTTAATGGTTCAAATGTCTGAATGGTTAAGAGATTTGTCTCTGAATGGTTAAGTATTATACAGAGTCTGAATGGTTAAGACCTCTTATCTGAATTGATCAGACATTTGCCTCTGAATAGTTAAGCAATATACTAGCTCTTAATGGTTCAGACCTCTTACTGGTTCAGCACTTAATGGTTCAGACCTCTTACTGGTTCAACACTTACCTATTCAGAAGTTGCCAAACAGCCCCTTCATCTTTCATTTTTTCCACTTCCAACAAAACACTTCCATTTTCTATTTAAAAAACCATTTTTACCCTTACTTTTTCACACCCTACCTATCACATCATACTTTTTCTCTAATAATCTATCCATCACATCTTACTTTTACCCATCACATAAGGGGCAAAATTGGAAATCAACTACTCCGTATGATTTAACACTTCCTTATTTTTGCCCCAAATCAAAATGGGAAGTTTTTTTGTAAACAGAAGGAGTACTTTTTTTTATTATATATCGATTTGTAAACAAAATAATTCTAAAAATATGGAATTTTGCACGTTGTTCAAAATTGGAAGTTTATTGTTGGACGAAGGAATTACTCTCTCCGTCCTATAGTATTCATCCAGTTTTGACTTTTGGAACTGTTCATCTAAGCACTTTGATTAATCAAATTCTATCAATATGCAAGCCTAAATATAGTCATGTGTGATCTTGTTTGATTTGTCTTAACATATACAAATTACAAGATAAAATGGATTAAAAAGTGTATTGGATGGTGTGTAAAAATGAAAGTAGACAAATACTCTGGGACGGAGGTAGTATATTTGACATTAGTTCAAATCCCGGTATTAGACATTAGTTCAAAATTTCCGTTCATATTATTCTCAATCTAATGACGCACAAAGAGTTTCCGCATCCGTTGGCGCTCGAACATGCGTGAACTTCCTTATGAATCCTGGAGAGTAGGCTTCCAACACCAGGTGAGAAGTTCATTTTGTCTAACTAATAATACTTCCATCCTAGAGTATTTGTTTAATTTTGGTTTTTTTAGTCAACCGTTTTCAATCTTTGATCTATAATTAAATAATATACATATTGTATACTCCGTATTAATTAGATAAAATAATATTTAGAAAATGTTTTATATAATAAATCTAATAAAACTATTTTTGTATCAACATCTAATATCATTTCTATTTAATTTGGGATCAAAATTTATCAATTTTGATCGAAAAAGCCAAAAGTGAATAAATATTTTGAGATGAGGGAGTATATGATATAATGTTTATTCAAATATAGGCTAAAATTTGATTTTTGTTGACTCCAAGAACCAAAAAACTAAACAAATACATCGTGGGAGAGGATAGTAGTAACAAATAAAAAGACTATATATATATATATATATATATATATATATATATATATATATATATATATATATATATATATATATATATATATATATAGCACTAAAACATAATGACTTTGTCTAAACAGCACCACATGTGTTTTTATTCCCAATGTAGCACTTTTAGTCATTATGCAGTAACTATTATTCAAACAAATATTTGCCATCACAGGACATTATGGACATTATTAAGTGCTATTTAGGGAATAAAACAATTTAAGTGCTATTTAGAGAAATGACTTAAGTTTTAGTGCTATTTAGTGCAGATATTTCTATATATATATATATATATATATATATATATATATATATATATATATATCACATATATATATATATATATATATATATATCATATATATATATATATATATATATATATATATATCACATATATACATCCAAATTAAACACCTAAAAATCAGAACTTGCACCAGAAAGTGATGATCTGAACATGCATGCATGCATATCCAGCCATACCATCTTTTGTCCTCGTCTACCTGCGCCCTATTCACGGATTCACATTAGGTAGTCCCCCTCTATCCTAAAAATAATGCAAACATTTATGTTGGAGTTGGAAAATAGAGAAGAATACCACTATGATATAAAGTCGGGATCTACTAGCATTTTTATAATGTTTTTACTGAAATTATATTCAAATCATTAGTTAATATAAAAAATAGTTTAAAATTAAAAATAAAAATTACATATTTAAAAACTACATCTATCAAAAAATCTACAAAACAAGAGGTGACATGACTATATACTCAGAATCCTCAGTCCAGAATTAGATCACATTTTTCCATTTATAAGGCAATTCAAAACCAAACATTTTTTAAAATTAATTTATTTAAAAATTAGTATGACGATAATTAATAAAATTTACATATAAAAGAACTATGTCGAATGTTTTACAAAAGAAGAGGAAATAAGAATATTTTATTGAATAATACTACCTCTGTTGCATAAAACCCCTTTTTCTTTCGTTTTTTTGCTTTCCACAAAACGCTTCCACTTTCTATTAAAAAATCACTTTTACCCCTACTTTTTCATACCATACATATCACATCATACTTTTTCACTAATAACCAAACTATCCTTTCTTACTTTTTCTCATCACATCAAGGCATAATTGGAAAGTCAATTAAAATTACACTTTCCTTATTTTTCCCCCAAAGTCAAAACCGGAAGGGTTTGTGGAATGGAGGGAATAAATTAAAATAGACAAACAAACAAAAGTTATCGAGAGCTAGTACCAAAAAGAATTGTGACCCAATTTGGGACGAAGAGAGCATTGTTTTGTCAAATAGGCAACGAAAATAGACGAATGAAGTAAATAAATTTTGATCCTTTAAATAGTGAAGGATAAGATAGTTTTTTTAGATGGAGGGAGTATACAAATGTTTCATGAGTCTACAACCATAAACTTGATCTTTTGGTTGAGTTCAGCTTTTGACGTTGTATATGAGTCCTTTTGACTAAGAGGTCATGAGTTTTTAACTCGTCGTCATTCAATTTTTTTTAAAAAATTAAGATTTCACGTGTAAGACTCGAAACGATCAAGCTTATTAAGCATCCTACAATTACAAGATTGAATTTTTAATCGAGTTGGTCGGTCGAAGGAGGGAGGGAGTAGATATGTATGTTGGCTAAGCTCCAAAATTTACGATCCTACTTCCTTCATCCCATAAAACTTTTCTGATTTTGATTTTTAAAAGATTTAAGGAGAGTATACTTTGGTGTTGATTTTCTGAAAATGCATTTAGATATGATGGATACAAATATAATGTGTTGGACAGATTAATAGTGAAAAAGTGTGATGTGATAGGTCGATTAAGAATTAATATAAATAAAAGTTAGTTTTTAATAAAAATAAAATTTTGTAAGAATATATCTTTAACATTGCCCACTACGTGTTCGTACTATCACCATGCACGCACCTTTTGCATGTAAGATAAGGACGGTGGTTGTCGACCCAGTGCCAGCTTATTAACTGGCGTTCAAGGTAAAGTTTTTGCCCCAATTCAACTAGGGTAAAATTGTATAATTCAGATAAAATTATTGAATAAGATTAATTATTATCAAATTATAATGATATCGAAATTATCGAAGCACATCTTTAATTTTGAGATATCCAAAATAAATAGCTTAAATTTATGAGAAATTTCCTTAAATAGCATTAAAACACAATGACCTTTTCCAAATAGCACTACACGTAAAAGTTATTTTGAAGGATTTTATATATTTTCGATGAGATAAATATGTTTTTGTTATGTGTGGAAAAAATGAATGTAAAACTGTTTTTTTAAGGGATAGAGTTTTTTATGAAAGCATCTTTCAAATGGAGGGAGTATATAAAAAAGGATGAGCCACATCCTCGAGGCCGCCCTTAGACCTGGCCAAACGACCACTGAGAAGTAAATTGGACTTTAATCGTAAATTGGTAGCAAAAAGTAGAGCCTGCACTTGATACTTGCAGAGACCCTATGCTTAGCATAGCTGGCTATCGGCGCAAATGCCGGGAATCGAATTCGAGCCTTACCCCCTTGGCATCCCTTGCCTTGCCAACTGCGCAACGCCCACCGGATGGAAAGTATATAAATACACATGGATTATCATATATGCACTCAAAATTAAACAAGAAAAAGGCTACAAGTGTTTTCTCATATAGAACCACCCTGCCTAAGCCAAGCTATACTCCCATGGACTGGAAGCTCATCCTATCGTTGCTCTTAATTTGCATGGCGGTTTCCTCGCCGCGGCCGCCGGCATATGCTCACTGGAACATCTCATGCGACTCCTGCCATAATTACCCACCTTACCACCGCCCTACTCCTCCCAAATCCGGCCGCCCTCATCCGCCCAAAATCCCCTGCCCACACCCACCTCCGAAGGTCTTGCCGCCTATACACTTCCCTCCCGTCGTCACGCCACCAGTCACTCGTCCTCCCGGCATCCTCCCTCCGGTCATAAACCCTCCGGTCATTTTGCCTCCTCCTGCGGGAATCTTACCCCCCATAATCAACCCTCCTGTCGTCCTGCCTCCTCCCGGCATCCTCCCCCCGATCATAAACCCTCCTATCACCAACCCACCCGGGTGGGGTGGTGGAGGTGGAAGCGGAGGGGGAGGCTATCCTCCTTATACCCCTGCACCAGGAACGGGAGGAGGAAGTGGTGGTGGAGGAGGAGGCAGTGGCGGTGGCGGTGGAATTATTTTTCCACCGCCGACCACTCAGTGTCCGATAAACACCTTGAAGCTAGGGTTGTGTTTGGATGTGCTTGGAGGAATTGTGCATGTGGGAATAGGAAATCCGGTGGAGAATGTTTGTTGTCCGGTGCTTCAAGGGCTGCTAGAGCTGGAGGCGGCGGTGTGTCTTTGCACCGCCGTGAGGCTTAAGCTTCTCAACCTTAATATTTTCATTCCACTAGCCCTTCAAGTTTTAGCAACTTGTGGTTTGACCCCTCCTCCTGGTTTTGTTTGTCCTCCTATTTATTAGGAGACTCTGTTTGTCCCTATGGACGAATAGTGAATGCTTGTCTCAATCGTAGTTGTCCGACTAACTGGTTCCTCGTTGAATTGTGATCGTGTAATCTCAATTTTTCGGACATCTATCGCGTGAGACAAGCACTAGTAGATTTGGATTTCGTCTTGCTACTCTTTTATTTTCTAGCTAGATTTATGTGTTTATATTATGTTTTATGGAGATGAGAGGGGATGGTTAATAAGATGAAGTGCTAAATAATGTAATGTAATCTAGCTAGTGCCTAGGGGTGTATTTAGTTCAAGAATTTTCATTTTTAGTTTTTTTTAAAAATAACTTGCCATTAATTCAAAATATCATTGTGCAAAACATTACAAATAATCACTCGGGGGACAGAGTCCCACTATAGAGAACCAGACGTAGAATCAGACGTTCTAGTCATGAAATGAGCCACTTGATTCAGTGACTTTCGAACTAGTGACCACTCCAAAAATGTTTCAAAAAGTATAATTTCTTTATCGTTTCGATTAAATATAAACTAAGTTGATTGAATACAAAATTACTATATGACTGTGTTTGGTACACAGAATTCAGATAATGGTATGAGAAATAGAGAATTCAATTTCATTGTACTGTTAAGTAGCACAAAATTATGTGAATTTGGAATTTAAATCTAAATTTGAAATTTCTGTATCAATTCTAAAAAAATATGAATTTAGTTGCACAAAAATTTAATTCCATAATTTTGTGATCAAACAAAGAATTTAAAATTATAATACAATTCTATATCAATTGTTTAAGTATACCAAATAAATGAAATGAAATTAAATTATAATATATTCAATTCTAATACCGTGTACCAACATCCTTTATATGCTTTTTTCGAGATAATAGTCAACCAAATTTGCAAAAACAAAATCAGATTATCAATTAATCATCAGTCTTTTTAACAAAACTAGAAACAAAAGAATCGGATATCCAAGAATATGAATTATGATCCTTCATCACAAATGGAGTAATAAATTAAATCACGAAGTAATATATTTTAAACAAAAAAAACAGTAGTTGTAAATTTAGGAGAGGGTGGGAGAGGCGAACCGGCGGACGGGACAATGGATCGGGACAATGCATATCATTTTTGTGGACTTTTTGACCTAAATTTTTTAAATTTTTTTATTTAAAAAAAGAATGTTTATTGAAAATAGTATAGAAATGCTTATTATGCTCATTCATCTTAGGTCCACTATAAAATTTTCCTTGTTTCATTTACATCCTCTTACGATTTTTCAACTTAAAAACAAATAAAATAAAAAAGCAAAAAATTATATTTTTTAGTAAAGAATTGAGATTCGCTTAACATTTTTTGCTTCCTTTACTTTATTTTTTTAAAGAATTTTTGATTTTTTTAAAGTAAAAAATTATGCCTGACTTTAAATGATTTATTAAATTCAGATTTGACCAAAATTATGTGTTTCAAAATCTAAAATTTTGATGTAAATTTAGACGAAATTTCTGTAATTCACAATAAAGCTTAATAACAAATCTCTGCACCTTCTTTGTAATTTGAAATTCAAAATTACAAATTTAAAAATTCAAATCCAATAATTTAAATAAATTTCTAAGCTAAAAAATCGATGAAGGATGCAAAATTATCCCTAATGCAAATATAAGTATATAAAACTTTTGAGGGTGTGCTATGACATTTTTTATAATCACGAGGGCATTTCTATTATTTGTTACCTTTTGAGGGTAAAAAATTTTTTTCCTCGTTCCACAACATTGTTCGAAACAGTTTAACCACATCTGTAGAAAATGGAAGCTTAAGATTGACAGAAGAAGAAGCATCGTCATACACCTGGCAAATTAGGAAAGTAAGGACAATTCAGTTATGAATTGTCCAATGGGCCTTTTGTCCGGCCTGGGCTACGTCGACAACCAATATATTCAGGCCTAAGGGAGTTTTATTCAATCACAAGTCCATAGTTTCTTGGTTGAAAGGAAATTTTGGTGGTTGAGAAATTAAACATGTCCCCTTGTGTCTCTTGCCAATATGTAATAAAAAAATCTTTTCAACGCAGAATGCATGGGAATAATTAAATGAAGGTAATAATAAAGATTAACAAATGACATGATATTTGCTTAAATAAAATACAACTTATACGAGGCTTAACTGGATTTAATTAATTTAGTTACCTAGCTCAACACGTACAATTCGATTATTATTTTTTATTTGAATTAAAGAGAATACACAAAATTTCCTAAATGACAAATATGAGAATCTATATATATAGCCCAGAAAACAGGGCCATGAAATCCAGCAAAAAAAAATCATTGCCCCTATTTGTTGTTCACAACTGACATATTGTCAAGGACCCTGCGCTGAAATGTCTAACGACCTAGGAGCCTGAGGGCATTTTGGTAATGTTAGTAGGAGGATGGCGAAGATAGGGGCGCGTTTGGCGAGGGGGGAAAGGATTAGAGGCTACAAAAGTGCGGTATTTTCGTGGATTTCCCCAAATATGTTGGGACATCCGTCCCATTCCCCAACCTCCCGCGTTTCCCAGTATCCACCTGTGTAACGGAAAGTACCTTCTTCTCCTTCTCTTTGGAACCACCTCGGCTTCCATCCGTTTTCCTGCAGTTTCCTTGACTGTGAAAAACGAAAACGTGTTGTCGTTAAGGCCCCATTTGTTTCCAAGAAAATAATAACTTTTGAAAATGCTTTCTGAACAAGAATAAAAATAGAAAACATCTCTGTGTGTTATATGTAGCCATGTAGACCCAAACATGGCTCAAAGAATCTGGGAAAATATGTAGCAGTGTACATACCATTCTCTGGCGTGTCTCTAACCGCAATTTCTCTGCATTTGCCTTATCATATTCCCCATTCTCCAGAGAACGCTGATCAGGCCGAAGTCTTGAATCAGTAGGAGGGAGTTTTTCCTTCACGCATAAGACGATTCGAATATTATATACGAGGTTTTGTTTAACCAAAAAAGTTATCCAGTTCATCTAAACAACAATAGTAACATACCTTCAGTCCTGGAGTTAACTCGTTGAGAGTGATCGCGAAAGAAGTCATATTGTATCTGGTGAGATTCTGTGGAGGTTTATTACTTTTCCACAATAAGGATGAAGCAGACAAATCTCTTGGTCTGCTACTGCATTCGCCGTTTGTGTAATACATGTTTTCGTCCCACTTCCCAAACACTGTAGCTACCTTATGGCCAGCGACATCTTCAACGAATCCGTGGACCTGGTGGGGGTTGCGGTCAAGAAGAGATTGCTCTTTGAATTTCAGTTTACATGAGTGCTGGCGATTGCCACGAATATGCATCATTCCGTGATGGTCACAGTATATCTTCCCAAGAATTAGATTATATATACTGGTTGTGACCTGAAATAAACACGACCGATTTAGTCGCAGGAACTAATAAAGAATTGATGGAAGAATATAATGATCTCCGCACAAAAACTATGTCACCGTGCATACCTTGTTCCACTGGAAAATCTCCCCATCGTCGAATTCTAATGTTAGAGTTCCAACTGGATCGACTTGAATTGATGTCCCCCAAAATTTAGACTTTAGGTTACTATCACCCCAGAATTTCCAGCCTCTACCTTCACAATGACAGGCAATAAGTGTTGGGTGGTGACTAACCTGTTTCATAATTTCCCACATCAATAGCATGACTCAAGATGTTGCTTGTAGTGTATATGTTTCAAGTTTCAACTGATAAAACCCATTACATGTAACTTTTTTTTGAGTTTCAAATGTAAGTGTTCCAGTTTCCTAAAGCTGCCTTACACAGAATGAAATTGCAACTCTCCAAAAATTTTAATCCAAACAGGCTAGACGGATATAATATATACCTTTTCGGAGAAGAATTTGATTCCTTTCTCTGGATAATCAGCTTCATAGGTTTCACCCAACAGAGGATTGAAGGGTTTGCAGTGTCGACCTTCGGTTGATGCATATCCAGACACAGCGAAAGCAGCAACATTCAAAATCCTTTGTAGAGCATTACCCTAAATGCAAAACCATAATGGCCAAGTAATTTCATTAGAAGAAACTACAAAAGCTATCCGTTCAGACAAAAAAACTACGAATGCAGGGCACATCAAGAAATAAGCAGTCATAAATATCAAAGGTACATTATCATCCCAAGCACTTCACAATACCACATAGTGCAAGGTTCCCATTTCCATTGTTGGAACACTATGAGAGGACAAAGACGAGAAACCCGTATAAAAAGAAAATGGAAAACAATAACATTAACAAACACAAAAATTTCCAAAAAAATATTGGCAACGGCATTGAAATATCAAACACCACAGGCTTTAAGCACATCCTGTTTAAATTAGAGAATGCCATACGAGTAGTACAAAATTGAGTAGTCGATCAAAAAACATAAAATGAAACTAGAATTCAGTAGCAACAGCTCACATCACCGAAGTTTATAAAAAACTTGTATTCTTTATATATACATAAATCAAAGAATCAATTTATGAGCATATACCTCTTTCCCATGCTTGTATGCCCTATCTAAAAGATAGGAGTACTCCAAATCTTCAAAGCTTCTCTGAAGGGATGATAAGGGTTCGTTAAAGTACACTGGAAGACAAACTCGTGTGAGATCTTTTCCAACATTGTCTTTGATCATAGACCATAAACTAACTCCTTTCTCCTTTTCAATTGGATCAGGTAGTCTCGTTCGCCTTTCTACATGTGTGCACATGGAAGCATCATTATCAGCACTCCTTTGCATCATATCATTAGATGGTTTCTCAAGCCCCATGTCTTGACCAATTTGATCTCCTACTGTTGGCCCGCAACTGACAGGCGGATCAGGAAAGCAATCATTTGTGTCAAAAAATCTAGTTTCCTCTTCATCTGATGCTTCCTCAAGCTCTTGTTTCTCAATACCATCGGAGGATTCAGTAGTGCTCCATTCTGAAACATTTGAAAGAATGGTGAATCATATTTTCCTTGATATTTCCTTACACGGAGAAACAAGAATAAAATACCATTAGTATGGATGCATTGCAATGACATCTATAAGATCACTTTTTATACGAGAACACACTCAAGTTTGGAAAACAATTCGTAATACCAATGACAGATTATTAGATTAATTTAGAGTATATATGAAGCTTACCGCTATACTTTCCACGTCCTATATTTGGATATTCACTCTCAGGAACTCCAGCATCCTCAGTTTCAATATTGGTAGCCTGCATTAGGAAAATCAGAGTGTG